AACTTTCACGAGGGATTTTTCTTGACTTTAGTTATTCAAATCTGAATTCAGATTCTTTTTAACAAATAAAGAACTTGACTTGCTTCTCAATCAAATTAATCGATTGATTTAATTGTGTTTTCAAGAATATTGAATCTCACAAATTGGAAGTAATTTCCTTTGATTCTTCAATTTTTTCTATTGTAATTAATAGTCAAATCTGAATTCAAAGTTTTTCTTTAATAAGTTAAAAGCTTGTATCAATATTCCTCCAAATTTCAACTAAACTACAATTAAGTTCAGAAAAATTTCTTCAGGGATATTTAACTTCTTAAAATTAAAAACTTAGATTTTTCTTTGATATTTTCACAATTTACTTTTTTTTTTTTTTTTTTTTTTTTTTTTTTAATAAGTTAAACTTGTCCTGATTAAAATTTGAAAGCTTATAATTTAGTTCTTCAAAGATACTTAAAAATTAAAAACTAATTCTTGATTTTTCTATCGTTCTCTCTGATAATTCCCCAATTTTCACAAGAAATTTTCTCGATTTTGATTGCACAGTCAAATCTCCAGAATCTCTGGGCACTCATTTGGCTTCGTTGCTGTTGGAAGCGGAACACAGAGTTCAAGAACTCGGCGGGAACACTTCCGGTAGCGGCGGGACTACCCTCCTGGAACCACCGAGCAGTCATAGATCAAGTTTTTCGTCCCAGCACAACAATCTCACGGGATGTGGTGGTAATAACGAGGACAAGCAACTCGCTTTGTGGGAAAGAAGAGCTAGAGCGCTTAGAAAAATGTTGCTTGGATTCGATCAAGCGAGTAAGTTAATCCTTAAAAATACCGATGCGTTGACATAGTTATTCAACCACTAAATATTGTTACAATTTCGTAAAACAAAATCGTGCAACAACAAACCTAAATTCATTTCGAAGCTTCAAGTTGCTATAAATCACGTTCAAAATGCTATAAATCATCATGGTATATAAAAACATTGAAAAAAAATCTTTTAATGAATTTGAAGATTGCAGCCTTTACAAATTTTGATATACGATTTTTTTCCACCATCTTATCAAATTTTGAATAGTATAGGGAAGGACTAAAATATAAACGACGAAAATGTTCCGGACTTAGACAGTAAGTCTAAGCTTCTGGAAAAATTTTAAATAAAATTAATGCTAATTCCTTTTAGGACCGCCAGATATGCCGTTTTTGGTCGCAGTGGACGTGACGGGAACAAATTCTGTAACAGTGAGATTTCAAGAGCCAGATTCCCACGATTCCCCTATCTGCACAAAATTTAAAGTTCAATGGAGTGTCAAGGAAGATTTCTCAGTAATCTGTGGCGAGAGGGAGGTCCTGGATATGAAACAGAGAGAGTGCAGGATCGACGATCTGACCCAGGGACAGAAATATTACTTTCGCGCAGCTGCTGGCAATTTGAAGGGCTACAGCAGATTCAGGAACTCGACTCCTGCCCATGTAACACCTAGCAGTACGATCATTTTTTTGTTTCTTTTGTAAAATATACATTGCAAAAAAAAGAAAGAACCATTAGGTTGTTGTAGATGAAGTAGCCAAATTTCTGTATATCTAATTAAAGTTTTAACGTTTACAGATTACTTGATGATTATCAATTAGTCAAATTTCCACTCGCCAGATTCAGTATATTTTAATCAATGTGAAACAATGCTTATAGTTAGATTAAACATTTTTATGCATGTAGGTAGAAAGTGTTCCTGTTACATTATTAAATATGTAGCAAAAACACTACTTTCAATATTTTATATTTGTGCCATTTGTTTTTCAGCTAAATTCTTATAATTTTAGAAAAACAACTGAAGAAATGATATTTTTTATAGACCTGTATTTTTTAAAAAACACAAAAATTCTAGAGCTATCCTATCATACTGTGTTCTCATTTTTACTTTCTCAAATTTTCTACAAATAAACAAAAATTCACAGTCTGGTTGTAATTCTTACAGTTAAAATCTTTAATTGATCATTAGTTAATGACTAAGATGCAGATTTTATACATTTATGGAAAATTGTGTGACACATAATGTACAAAAATACCTATATAAAATACAGTATATTATAATATATAGTAGATAAAATAAATTTTTTTTTGGTTCTATTTCTGCAGTGATATTTATAAAAATTTTAAAATGCTAAATTCTGTATCCTATTTAATAAATATTTTCGATATTTGTATTTTCTAATTCTAAATTCGCACGAGTTGTCTCTTCTTTTAATATAACTTTTCAAAAATCTGTACTATTGTTACGAGCAATCTTTACTTTTTGTTAAATTGAAATTTAAAGTGGAACATGTGGCTCGTTTTGATACATTGTACTTTTCTAATATAACATTTAAATATTCTGCCTTATAAATGAAATATTTAAATTTCTAATTGGTTTATTAATTGGTTAATTAGTACATTAAAAATACTTTAAATCCTGAATGATTTTACATGCTTGTGATTTAAGACATTTTACATGGAAAAATCTAATATCTTGAGAGGACAGGCAAAGAAGTACAAGTCAGAATTATTGGTTTTGCAAAAATGCACTTACAATAATTAAATTTAAAGCGCAATATTAGATTTTGAACGTTTGGTAATTAGATTGCTGATTTTTAATTTTATTTTTTGAACATAATTAAAGAAGTAGCAAACAGAAAATTGTTTCTTCTATATATTATTATAGTTGATACTCTTCTTCAGATATTTTATAAACATCTTTACTATGTTTATTTTTGCACCTTCAAATTTCTCGTAAATACACAAAAATTTACAGTCTAATGATAATATTCTATTGTGTATTGTAAATACGCATCATTTTATATACGAAGATTTATATTATTTTTGATTAAAATTCTTTTACTCCTTCGCTCAAGAAGCGATGAAATAATCAAAAATATAAGTTAAAACCTAATAAAAATAGAGTACATGCAGATTCTTCTGAATTTTAAATTTCCTTCTATATAAAAGACGGGAAACGTGACTTATCCTGCTTTGCCATTTTACGTGTGAAACATTGAGTAACAACTGGGAAATATAAAAGTAAATCCACCTCTAATCCGATCCACATTTAGCTCACGTACAGATTTCGCTCGATCGCATTCGAATCGAGTTAAGTTCAGAATTTGCGTTGCACGTGTACCGATCGTTAAGTCTGATTTGGTTTATTGGAGCTCGTGAGAATCGAAGTGAAGACACGTATCCCCATTGTTTCCAGGCTGGAGAGACATCGATGGCCGAGTGCCAAGGTTTGCCGGCCGATTGGAGCAGTTGAATACTTTATTCACGGACATAAGGCGGCCGGAGTACACTCAAGAGACGCCAGCCGTGCAGAGGCGTAATCACAAGAAGAAGACAACGATAAAGCAGCTGTTCACGGCCACCAGCAAGTTTCAGAAGAACTTGAGGCGCGGCGTGTTTCTTGCTTGTTTATTATACCACGAGGATAAAATATTGGTAACGAACGAGGATTTCTTGCCTGTGATTGAAGTCGACGAGACTTACCCTAGCTGTATTTACAACGACTTCCATTGGCTTATGAAAGTGGGCTGCACTTGGGACGATGTTAAAACTCTTCGGCAAGATATGGAGAAAAGTCACAGCAGCTCGACCAATCACTTCAGGATAAAACTTTTACAGGCTGCTGCGCAGATGCAGGTTTGTTTTTCAACGACGTGAAATTATTGTTGTAAATGTCAAAGATTAACACTGGAATTACAAAAAATAGTTAGAATGACTTTTCATAGAAATTTTCTAGATTTCTAGAAACATTTTCAATCCTTTATGTCCGAAATTAAGTTATTTAAGATATTTTTATATTTTTAAGAAGAGGAAAAGGAATTTGCTATTAATTTAATGTAAAGTAGAGTTTAGTTTTCGAATGTTCGAATATATTTGTTAGTAGCAGATGATCTTTTAGTTACTAGTAGTCATTATATTCTGTATATTGAAATGAGAAGAATAGAAAAACTACGTGTATTTTTGAATATGCAATGATCCACAAATATTCATTGTGCCGTTTTGTCTTATGTCTCTTTGAATAACTTTTGAAATTGTCACAGTGATATAACTGTTATATTTCATATAAAATGGTATTTTTAACTATTGTTAGGATATAAAGGATCAACATTAGAACTATCAAAGTGGTCAGAATTCATAATTTTTCATAAAAGTTTTCTAAATTTACAAGATTTGAATGATTTTTCGTAAAATCATGGCCATTTAAGCACCATGATACATACGGTGCAATAGAAAAAGATATATAATTATATAATTATTTACAAAAGATCGAAAACTATGAAATCATCGAAGAAAAACAATTTTTGGAAACGTAACTTGGCTCCTTGACGGCGAAATTATATAAAAAATATTTTCTGATCATAATAGAAGATATTTAGAAGATTACGCTTAAATGAACCACACTGCATATGAGTTAATATATTATATTTTATATTATATTATAAATTTTTTTTCTTAGTCCTTGCATTTTAATTTCTACAATGCAACCATTATATTTTAGTCATTGATAGTTCTAGTGTTTAAATAAACAGTACATAACAAAATAATAAAATAATATATAACGACATTATATACTACATAACAACATACAGAAATTGATGAATAATTACTGGTATTTGCAGGCAGCACTGTGTATACAAGACCTTGGTCAATTGTACCATAAACCCATCAGAGACGTTCAAGGCACCATGGTTTTCTCCACGGTGAATTACATAAAATTCCCGAAATCGATCTCAGTGTTAAACAGCAGATGGTTGCCGCTTAGTAAAGTCACGAAGAAAGTCATCACTCATGAAGATAGTAACGTAGCAGATATTTTAATTGCCAGTATACAGGAACAGATGACCTATCATCAAGTTAGCAGTATCAAGCTGTCAAAAGGACTGTATCTTGGTTATTTGAAGATGCAAAGTAGCGTTGATCTTATACAAGTCGTGGTACCCGCAAAATCGCCTAATGTTTTACCTCATTGCAAGATTCGTGACAATCCGCACGTTTCTGCGTAAGTATTGGATAATTTTATTATATTAAAAATACTGTCTTCATTAACTAAGAGTGACTCTGCCAAATATTATATTCTTTATCATATTGAATTTACATTAATTATTCATTGTTCTTGTCAAATGTATAAATCTATCTTGTAAAAATGTAATATAATACATATATTCAATAATCATCAGCAATGTGAATTATAAAATTTATTGAAATAACAATAGTAATGTTTTAATAATATGGTTTCTTGCATGTTAATGCACCTGAGCTATCTTTGTACAATCTGTTTTATATTCTCAGAATACATTTTTTACCCAAAAACTTTCTTTAATTTTTTATGATCAGTTTTAAACTTATCTATCTACTCATACATACTAAATTGAAGAAGAACACTATTCTCATATTGTCTCTTAAGATTGTAAAAACTGAATAACAGCATACTACTTTTTTTTGATGCAAATGTAAAATGGTTCAGCCATTGATATTGTCATGAACAAAGAAAATTAAACTACCTTGCTACAAGCAGTATTATTATGATAAATGTTTATACAAAAAGTGTATAATAAAAGTATTTATATACTACAAAACTAATATATAACAAAACAAACTATCAATATATTGCGGATAATTATTGAATCAATTCTGTATCTTCAAATTAGATTACTCTGTTAATTCTAAAGTATGTTTATTTACTGTTTTTGTCATCACCATATTTTTGCAATTTTATTAATCTTTGTTATTCCTGTTCCTATAGTGAAGAGTGGGATTATCTGAAAAGGATAACACGCATTCATGCATCAGACGCATCGGTCAAAGATTGCGAAGAAAAGGAAAACGTAACAAATGAGTCTCAAGGTACAGAACAGCAAAAATTGTTCGTCGATCTGGTTGCTGCTACAGCGAGACGACTGTTCAGTTACATGGAGATCAGTCCTGAAGACTCTTTATTGCATCGACTCTACGACGCCGAAGTTATCGATCTAACTCACGACGTGTCTTTTCTAATCGCTGTGCCTCCTGCAGAAACCGCCTGTTGCGTACCAGGTACCAGAGAAATCCTTCTTCAACGTGGTGATCTTCTGTCCTTGCCTATCCAAGTATTCGAGATGGTCCACTTGAACACCTATCAAAAAGATGTGATTAACAGATATTCAAGATTAAGTTGTATCTTGGAACTCGACACAGCGCAAGCTCAATATAATCATAGAGAAGCATTCAGTTCTCTGGAGTTAAGCGTGGCGAAGGATAAATTGGCCAGGCTGCAGGATCTTCAGACTCAAGTGAACACTGTATGGAAAGGAGCCAGGTGGCTCATCGATGTGATCACGTTTGCTAGAGATCGTGGATCTTCGCAGCAGAGCGTAAGTTGAATTAATGTTGAACTAAATTCGTGTAACACAAGCTTGGACATTGTTTGAATGAAATATTTGCGAAATAATTATCCATATCTCATTTGAGACGATATTATCTTGGAATAATCTTGCACTAGTTTTGTTTAAACAAGCAAATGATTTTTTACAAAATTATTTTATTGCCAATAAATTAATTTTTTATTTTATCTTGCATTTTGTATTTATTTCCGCAAACAATTTTTTAAATAATTTTATTACACAAATATTATGCTGGGATAATTTATTATTTTTAAACTGTGAATTTTTCTACATTTTTGCGAAATTTAAAATTCCAAAAATCTGCAGTAAGCATCATATATGCAATAATGTATAAAGTAGATATTAGTAGATGAAACAAATTTCTGTTTTTTTAATTATGAATATATAAAATTACTGTCCATTTATTATAGTAAATTAACTCGAGTAAAAAATTGCTCTCAAATGATTTATTTGATTTTGGGTAGAAAATAAAATTATTTTTCCAAATCGTTATCATTTCTAAGATAAAAGTAATAAATTAATAGAAATGATTCGTTATTTCATTTCTTATCTGTACTTCAAACAAAATTTGCCCAAACTTGATGTATCGATTCTTCAAGGTCCCGCTGTTCTATAATAGTTTTGTGATACTTAAATTAAACAATTTGTATTTCCAATTGCAGAGTTCATCACAGACAGTCGGAATTTCCATGAAACACTTGCTCAGCCTTGATCGAAACAGAAGCAACAGTAATAGCAACAGCCTAAAGAGAAGTTTGCTGCAATTACCGCCGCGCGATCCAAAGCTGGTGAAATCTAGTCCCGGTCGAGGTAGTTGGCCAGGGCCTAACGTATCTAATTCCTCCTCGAATCTACTCACTACCGAGTTTAGCAAAAGCGAACAGCAATTACCTAGTGGCCAGTATATTCGCAAGGGCAGCAACACCTCGAACGTGTCTACCGGCTCAGAACCCCCAAAGTCTTCTGTGCCCATGAGCAGCACCAGCAATCTTAGCAATACGGCCAGCATTGGCAGCAACAACCATCTGGTACCATTACAGAACACCAGACTACCGCCATCTAAATCCGAGGACACTCTGATCCTAACGAAATACAAACATAGTCCCAGAAATAGGTCAGCTACGATCACGTCCGCGTCGGCCAGCACTAGTCCATTGCTCAGCATAAAGCCTATCATTTACGGTGGCTCGCTGTTGAGCGTGTCCACAGCCATGACAAACACGACGAGCTTGTTGAGTGTCAGCAACACCAATTCTGACAGTTTGCATTCGTTAAGTAGCGACGAGTATTCGACACCCAACTCGAGCGTCTGCATAAAGAGTGGGCTTGCGAAGAACAAATCAAGCAAACCGACCGCTAGTGTCGCGGCCACAGCAACCGGTTCGTTGGAGAGTCAATTGGAGGAGGAGAAAGACGAAGCAACTATGATGCCTGCTCCTCTACCTGGCATTCTTCAGGTAACACTTGTCACATTTCAGGTGTCAATTTATTAAGTAGAAATTGGGACTCATGTGAAGTCAGTAGATGAAATGACAGGATTGAGACCCTGTTGATAGTTGAGCATTGTGATAGAAATCATCATGGAGGATTGTTTTGTTGAAAAGAATTCTGTCATTATTAGTTGCGACACGACCGTTGCCTCATTCTCAAGATCACGGCAGGTTACAATTATAAGCGACGAGAGTAATAATGTCTTGGGGACAGCTAGTACAATTCTCTAGTCACGGTCTCTTCCCATTAGCCGAAGAATTATTTCTTATGCAAGCTTCCTTAGAGTAATGCTTATACCAATCCTGAACCGCAAAAGCTTATTATTATCTTTCGGAGAACCGCTCATTAAGTTTAAATAATATTTTTCCTTGTAGGGAACACAAGTCTAACCCGATTGTAGTTAAAAACAGCTCACTTGGTCTTCTAGTGCAGACCGATGTAGCAGACATATGAGTAAGCCCGTCACACACCGCTAAGTTTCAGTGCTTGTTTCGCTCAGATGCGCTTTCCCAATTTACGCTTTTCTTGTAATCATTGATCTAACAGAGCATGAAATTTCGACCGAGCTTTCAATTCACTTGATACAATTGTTTCCATGTCTAATTCAGGTATAACTAAAAGTAACTAAAAGTAACTAAAAAATCGTCAATCTCAATGCGTGTTGCATATAACGTCTCTTTATCTATGTTATTTTAAATCGCTACTACATCAGGTAAGCAATTTTTTCTCTTTCTTTCTTCAATCATTTTTTTTTTTTTTTCTTAACAATAACTTCTTAATTTACTATTCGTTAACAACAGCCAGATGCATCGAGCAACGTGCTGACACTGCGCTGCTATGTAAATGTCACTGCAGACAATTTGTATTTGTGCAATCTGCAGATTGCCCAACGAATTCTCGTATAACCAGAGATCCGGTGTTCTTGCAGGTTTACGCGGCCTACGAAACCGGCCTGGCTTCCGGAACCAGCCTGAAATTACACGTTACCCCAAGGACCACGGCCAGAGAAGTTGTGAACCTAGTTGTGAAGCAACTGAACATGGCGGTAGTTTTGAAGGGCCAGGAGGGGCCCATTTACACAGCCGACGAATTGCCGAATTTCTGCTTGGTAGCGGTGATCGGTGCTAGGGAGCGTTGCCTGAGAGATGACTTCAAGCTGCTGCAACTTCAGAATCCGTGGAAGAAGGGTAGATTGTACGTGAGACAGAAGCAAGACGTCCTCGCAGCTCTTGAACACAGCAGCAAACACACCGCGTATTTATAGCATAAGTAACGAAAGAGAGAAGATTGTGATTAGATGGGACATCGGGAAAGAGGGGAACTTCGTCGCGATTCACGATGTCTAATCGATATAACAAATGCTACGTCTCGTTAATAATTGGCGATAGAAGCCAAAGATCACTTAGTAGAATGCGTTCTGTGTCTCATGGTAATTAGACGTCAGATAGATAGACGCAGTAGATACTCTTCCGTTCGCCGTTGTATTTTCCTGTTTTCTTGTTCACTTTAATACTGGACAAAGGACATAGATTGCGGGTGAACCTTGCGAGACGCAGAATGCAATCGGATATGTACATAAAATAAACGCTTGGCTACATGATGAATTTTTCAGTTATACCTCTCGAGGCTCTAAGTAAATTACGTGTAATTAGGTAGGGGAATGATAGGAAAGGCACGACGATCGTCTGTAACGACGGGAATATTAAGTTGCTTGCGTTCAGGCGACCCAGAAAATACATTCCAAATGAGTTTTCGACCCGGCTGCTGTAATTTCTCGCCGATGGACTAGGCAGTATTGCAAAGAAATGGATAATACTCATGGTATATTATATATTGTTATATTTTAGGTACCGATCTCAGTGTTTTACTCGATATAGACGCATCACACCGATTACAAATGCGCCAAATGCTTAAGAAATTTCATTGTTGTCCCGATTGTATTCGACGCGTTCAAACTACATCGTTTCTTATTTTTATTCAGAGCTTTCTTTATCTTCTTGGATAGGATCTAATTTTCGGTAAGAGAACTTGTACACGTCGAACAAACTGACAGCACGAACGTTTGCAGATAGAAGAAATTTTGTATTTATATTTTTTAAATCCATCTAACCGCTCAAGGATTTATTTCAAGCAGTTTCGCTTGACCGAGTCTTTGTCATCGACTTCAGGAGATACACGATTCTCGAAACGATTTCTTCTCTGTAATTCGGTTTTAATTTAATCTGTTAACGTTAACGTTCTTTTATCAATGTGAGAAATTTTCTTATCATCCATTATATAATTTCTTTTCTCACTTGTAAATAATGGGAACAGTGAAAACGTCCTAAAACATTAACTAAAAGAGAATCACTCAAAGTTATTAGAAAATGGCGAGTAGAGCAGATTATGATTATACGTAAAATTAAAACGTAGAAGAAGCGTGATCCAGATAATAAAAGAGGCTTATAAACTGTTGCGTAGAAATAAAAGAGTATTATTACGGTTATTAAGGTTGTTTCTTCTTAAGATCACGATTATTTTGTTACACATAATTATTCGTTCTTTTGCGTGTTTTTCAAATTCACTTTCTGTTTGAAGACGTACAGAAGTAGGATTTTTCACCTAACAAGCATTGTATATTCACTTCTTTATTGGTATTTCGTTGGAGAAGAAGAACATGTCGAGATTTCGAATTTATCGATGATCTTGTTAGAATTTGAAGACTTCCTAATAAGCGACCTAGACGACGCGTTCCTGATAAATATGGTGCAGAGAGAGAAATGTGAAATACACCCTAATCACACGATACCATTTTTCGGTAAATGTTACGTGTAGTATGCAATGCTTCAAGATTCTGAGATAATATTGTTCCTCTTTTTTCCTTTCTTTTTAATCAGTTTTCTCAATTATTAGGGATCTCTCAACTTTTGTTACATAATAAATAGCGTGAGAAATGTCATTGCTGTTGGATCCGTCCTTTATCTCTGATAAATGAAATTTTGAAAATTCAATTTACTTGGCGTTTAAATAATTGAACCTTGGTATCGTGCGTCGAGGGTCCACCTAAGTTTAAACAAAGAAAATACAATGCAGATATTTTTTTATCAAGGAAACAAGAGAGAAGGAGGTAAGGGAGAAGGTGAAAAAGAGATTTTTACTATATTTTGCCGAAGTGCGTACTCGTTCGTATCCTCCTGAGGAACGTGAACAATACACATTTCCATGGAAATACGAAAATCTGTCTGTCTGTGTGTCGATATCAACGGATGTGACAGACCGAGAGAAAGAGGTGCGCAAAAGGAGGCAGTAGTGAAAAATGGTGGAGAATTTTAAAACGCTAGAAAATTTATTAGCTCTACCTGAGTATTTATCGATGTTGAGTGTAAAATAATCATTAGCAGTTAAGTGTTACCGCAAGAGGAAGTTTAACACTCGAGAACTCCTAGTTTTCCTCTCAGGCAGGAGTTCCAAAAAAAAAAAAAAAAAAAAAAAAAAGAAAAATTGAAAAAAAAGGTATAAGATGAAAGAACGAACTACTTGTAAATATTCAAAGAAATCTATGTATGTATAAAATATAAATGAAAATTATTGAAGAAACTGAGATCCGTTATTTTTATCCAAATCAAGATTTCATTTTAAAGGAAGAATTTTTTTTGTAACTTTCAGAAACGTCGACAAAAATAATGTGCAATTTGTAGAATATTATACAATTATTTTTTACAATGGTACGATTAGTTTCATCACATGATCAACTTCTATTTTCACTTTAATTTGAGCAAGGCCAATGCAGGCCAAGGTGATTAATTTTACTTTTTTTTTCTTAAATTTTAGTGCCAAAACGGTTGGTACTTAACTAAAATAAATTTTCTTAATTATATTTAACATCATTGTGGAAAACTTTTTTAATTATGGAATAAATAATTTCTTTTATTTCAAAGATGTATTATGCAATTTTCTATTATCATTAAATAAAAGTTGCACTTACAATACATTCTACAATTTGATTTTCAATTGAACTTAAATTTTATGAATTTGATTAATGAGTCATTAATTTATCAATTTATTTGAGTTTAAATTTATTTATTAAACTTTGAACATTATAAAACGACAAGATAAACACCCTAATGTTCAAAGTTCAATGAAATGGTTAAGAAAAGTCTGAAACTGAAGAAAGTTCTGAAAAACCTATTACGTAAAATAATTTATTTTCAGGTTCTATTTTTTCAATTATATTCTCGCAAATGTAAATTAGCAGAAACATCTACGATCTCGAAGTTATCGATCGTATGATACAGATTCGAGAGGATTCGAGATATCTCAAGGATCAATTCCCACTAATAATTGATGGCTACCGATAATGACGCAGTTTGAAATTGTTTTGGAAAAAGTTCAAATAAATGGTACGTTGTGCCTCTTTTGTGTCTCGATAAAATTAAATTCGATTACACTGGAGATTTCATAGATTTTATTTTTCATTAGCCAGAGCACACGAGTCGTAACTCGAGGCGAGATGAAACGAACCCGGACCCTCACGACCGAGAGTCCCGCTGACCCACTTCCGTCTTGTTTCTCGTCTCATCTCGTCGAGCCACCTACTCCTTATTTATCCCCCACCTGGGCGTAATTGTGCACTCTTGGTCTTCCGGCTAGTTCCCAAGAGATCTGTGGTAATGAAAAACTGCCAGGGCATCCCCTCCGAGGAATCATGCCCCCTCGTAGGTCAGGCAACTTCTTCATGCCGACATTGATTTCCTGGCATTTTATGATTGTCACGAATAATATGCAGAAAGCAATTTTGAACAATCAATATTCAATAATCAAGATGGAGGAGATTTGAGAGTGTAAAATTGTGGATGTTGAGGATTCGTCGAAAAACATTTTTTCAATTACTCGAATGCGGATTATTTTTATACGTTTGTGAAAAATTTGAAGATATTAAAATAATATGAAAAAATATACCAACTTCTGTCTAAAATATACTACTTGTTATAATATTCGGATAATATATTATTACTAATATGGAACATATAATATTTTAGTATAATAATATTTAATTATTACATAATTTATTATACAATATTTTATGCTTTTGTTAATGCAATATATAATATTTAATTAATATTGTAACATTTGTGATATATATATTTTTACAATCTTTTGTAAATATCTATAGTATAATAATTATCTGTTTATTAATTTATAATTAGATTGTGGATTTTTACGCATTTACAAAAAAATTGAAAGTGAACTGCACAAAATGCAAGTAATATCAAAAAATTTATATAAAATACCCAAAATATAATATTGGTTATAATATTAATCCATTATAATATTTTTAATTTTTTTTTTCAATTGTATTTAGAAAAATATGAATTTGAATTTATTTTTTTACTTTATAGTATTATCTAGTTATATTTATGTTACTTAAAGTTTTTTTTATCGATGATATGCACTTTAATTTAGTATATTCTGTAATTGACTTATTATGAATTGAAATTCGACAAGATTGACAAGTCAAAGAAAACGAGAGTTTAGAAAATTATTAATAAATCGAGAATTAAATGAAAACACTTTCTAACATAATTGCGATATAAGCATAAATTAATATTTTCTGACTGAGCTGCTGATCGATTGAAATTTGACAGGATTTTTTTAACATTTTAATAATTATCAGCATCGTGAATGCAAAAGGAAGTCCAGAAAACTATCTAACTCGATTGTTCAAGACTAAGTGTGTAAATTATATAAACATAGATAAATATTCTACGACCGATCTGCTGTCAATTAAAATTTGACAGAGTCGGATATTTTGAAACTTTCAATCTGCTCGTAGAGATTAGCAGTCACGTATTGCAAGATAGATTTAAGAGGAACAAAAGACTGAGAGATTAACGTTCGAATCATTAATCACAGTCGCAATCGCTTCACGATAAAGAGCAACCGCTAGGTGACTTGAGCCGGAAGCTCGGTACCGTATGCACGCCGTACTCGAGTTCACTGTTGAATCGAATCGCGTCCATAATCGCATTAATACTCCCGCATTATTCATATCTTCGTCGATGCCTTTGTTCACTGACTTTCTTCCACCACAATTACGTACGAAATTGACTAATAGAGACACGTTGTGAAATGATCTTTCGAAGATTAAAATAGATCTTACCTTAGAATAGTAAACACTTTAATTTCGCTACTCTCTTTTATATTTTTGTTTGCATTTTTTTTTAATGATAATAAATATTTTCTGTTGGAATAAAAATATACAGAACGTCCAAATACAAGTGAGGAAGATTTT